AAGTAGGCCTGCTTTAGGCAGTTTGTTTTTGCTGCCCAGGTGCTGCTAAAAGGAGTTTGATGGTGACACTGATGAAGCAGCCATGGCTATGTAGATTCCTGGGGACACAAATGATGATCAGACGCATCATGGGTTCCAGGAACTTTAGGTGTAGGCCCGACAAGGAATAATGGATGGAAACTGAACAAGGAGAGATTGAACCTGGAAATAAGGAGAAACTTTCTGACAGAAAAATCAACCCATGGAACAGAAGTTGCCCTCGGAAGTTGTGAGAGCACCATCCCTGGAGACTTTCAAGAAGAGATTGGACTCCCATCTGTCAGAAATGGTGTAGGGTCTCCCGCTTGGGGGGGGGGTTGGACTAGATGACCTACAAGTTCCCTTCCAACTCTGTTAATCTTTTAAAATGTCGGCTTCCCAGTACCACTGATGAATGGAGGCCTCAGCAGATGCCTTGGAGCAGAGGTTGCTAAATTTGGCAACTTTAATACGCATGGACTTCAACTCTCAGAATTCCCCTATTTTGGTATTGAGGAAACTTTAAGAGGTAGGGAGGGAGGGAGAAAAGATGAAAGGAAGGAAGGACGGACAGAGGGAGGAAGGAAGGAAGGAAGGAAGGACATGGCTGGCTGAGGAATTCTGGGAGTTGAAGTCCACATGTCTTAAAGGGTCTGTGAGGAAGGAAAGGCAGTAACAGGGAGGCCTGCCGTGATTGCAAAGATTGCTTGTGGCACTTCCTAACACTAGAGGCTCCCCAGGGGAGATGCAAAGGCTGCCGGCTTTGTTGCTTCCTGAATGATTTTGCCAGGTGCGTGCGAACAGGCTTTGACACCTGAAATGGTTAAGGTGAACGTGGGCTAATTTGGTTCTCATCTAAATTTGGCTTTAGCCTTTTATTTCTTATTAGATTTCCTTCTCTGAGCCTGGTTTTGTAAATGTCAGCCTGACTTGTAAAGCTCCTGGGAAGCCACCTGGGTTAAAGAGTGCATAAAGGCAGCAGAAAAATGAATTAAATCCTAATACTCAATTTGAATTTCCTTTCCTTCCTTCCTTCCTTCCTTCCTTCCTTCCTTCCTTCCTTCCTTCCTTCCTTCCTTCCTTCCTTCCTTCTTCCCTCCCTCCTTTATTCCTTCACCCCTCCCTCCCTTCCTCCCTCCCCATTCCTCCCTAGCTCCCTCCCTCCCTATTTCCCTGCCTCCCTTCTCCCCTCCCTCCCTTCTACCTTTCCTTCCTTCCCTCCCCCTCCCTCCATCCCTAGCTCCCTTCCTCCCTATTTCCCTTTCTCCTTTCTTTCTTTCCTTCCTTCCACTTCCTTCCCTCCCTTCCCCCTTCCCTTCCTCCCTAGCTCCCTTCCTTCTTTCCTTCCTCCCTATTTCCTTCCCTTTTCTTCCTCCCTCCCTACTTCCCCTCCCTCCTTTATTCCTCCCTCCCTCCCTCCCTTCCTTTCTTCCTTCCTTCCACCTTTCCCCCTTCCCTCCATCCCTAGCTCCTATCCTTCCTCCTTATTTCCCTCCCTCCCTCCCTTCCTCTACACCCATCCGTGTTTCCTTTCTTCCCTCCCTCCTTCCCTCATATTATTTCCTCGAATCCAGGATAGCATTTCCCCCCTTGCCCGTTATATAGTCTCTCTCCCCGCCTACCCTTCCCCAATTCTCGCTACCCCATCTCTGCGAGGAGATGGGCGGGCATCCCAGCGAGAGCCAGGATCTCAGCGTCCGTATTATCCGTCCGAGTGTGCAGCAGTTGGTCAGGGTGTGTGTGTGTGTGTGTGTGTAGAAACCACAGTGCCATTACATCATAGTGTGAACTGATCTTCCCAAGGGGTTGGGGTGGGGGGTGGGGTGGGAGGTTGTTTCTAGGCTGGGGAGGGGAGGGGGAGGACGGGACTGATGTGCTGTGGCAGGGATGATAGGCAAGCCAGAGCGCAAGACTCATCCGAGCACTCTAAAACCACTTAGCCAGACCATCCACAGCAGGGCAAGCTGACAGAATCCAAGCATGATCCTTGTCGGGAGGAATCGCCCTCCGAGAAGCCAGCCATGAGCAGCAAGGTCACCGCAGTCACCCCTCTCCCTTCCCCAGCCCCCCCTGCTGCCCCCCTCAGCCCCCCTTCTCCCCTGGGGGAGGAACAGGAGGTGGTCACCACCTTTTGCACCCTACTCCCCAAGATGCCCCAGTGGAAATTCTCCGGCCCGTCTGGCTTTCTCAGCCGCAGCCCGTCCAGTGCCAGCAAAGACCTCTCAGCATCGGTCAAAAGCGGCAGCCTGGCAGAGGCCGAGGGTATCACGGTGCCCTCGTCGGCCTCGGGGTCAGGCCTGGCCGCTGTCCTCAGTGCCTGCGAACCGGTCTGTGCCACACCCTGCAGCAGACTGAAAGGAGGGGCGGCCGGGGGCAGGAAGACGCCTCGGGCCCCGGGGCCCCGAGCCCCTGGGGAGGAGTGGAGCCGGAAAGGGAGTTTCATCAGCAAACCGGTCCAAGGTTGGCTGCATCCCGATGACAGAGTTTTAGGCCCCGGAGTCTCCTACATCGTCCGGGTGAGTAGCCTTTTGTCTTTTTTCCCCCCATCAATCAAATGAAGCCGCTGAGCTTATCTTGGCTTGGTGAGGACGTTGCCTGGGATCTAATTCAATGTTTGTTTGGGGGGGCAGGGGTTCTGCAGATTTTGGGGTGGGCTTGCCACATTTAGCAAGTGGGTCTACCCAGTAGACGGCCCCAGATATATCCCTGCCCATCAATCCCCAAACAGGAAGCGTTTGGGCTTTGATTTAGCAGAACTATTTTGCTGTTTTATCTACCTCTTGTAAAGCACCCAGGTGGGCTTTCTGTGATATGATTCCGTCTCCATCTCTCTGAAATCTTTGGAAACTGCCCTCCGCAGATGCTCAGAGGCAATCTGGGATATAGTTTGTCAACCACTGTTGTGCCCCTGAAATGTGTAATTTGTTCTCGTGGGTTACAGGCAAGAGGTGATAGAATGACTACTCGGAGCATATTCAAATTCAGAATATTCTGAGCATATTCAAGGCTCTAGCTCTTTTTGTTAGAAGCTAGATTGCCCCATCATTATTTTAATTGGTGTTTTGGCCTGGAACGACATTAGAAGCAGAATATAAACCTTCATTTTGAATGTTAAGAAGTAAGAGGCCATCTATAGATTTAGAAGGGGCTGAATACAATTTAGGAAGTCTATCTCAGTTTCTCTTGAGTTATGGATTCCAAGATTGCTTGTTTGCATTCTGGAAATTAGAGGATTGGGGAGAGCAATTTGGGCTGTGTGTGTGATATTGGGTAACCTTGAAAGAGAAAGGATCATTTGCAGACAGCTCTCTAAACTGTAAATAAAACCCTTAATAAGGCCACACCTGCATCCAGTTTTGCATCCAGTTTTGGTCACCACATTACAAAAAAGATGTTGAGACTTTGGAAAAAGTACAGAAAAGAAAAACTAAAACGATGAAAAGCCTGGAGACTAAAATAATATTTCAATATTTGAGGGGCTGCCACAAAGAAGAGGGGGTCAATTTATTTTCTAAAGCACCTGAAGGCAAGAAAAGAAACAGTGGATGGAAACTAACCAAGGACAGAAGCAACCTAGAATTAAGGAGAAACTTCCTCACAGTGAAAACAATTAACCAGTGGAACAGCCTGCCACCAGAAGTTGTAGGTGCTTCATCATTGGAGGTTTTTAAGTAGAGACTGGACAGCCACTTGTCTGGAACAGTATGCAGGGGTCTCCAACCTTGGGCACTTTAAGCGTGAAGGACTTCAACTCCCAGAATTCCCAGCCAGCTTTGAATTCTGGGAGTTGAAGTCCTCCACGCTTAAAGTGCCCAAGGTTGGAGACCCCTGGTATAGAGTCTCTTGCTGGAGTAGCGGGTTGGACTAGAAGACCTCCATAGTCCCTTCCAGCTGTATTCTGATTAATCAAAAAAGGCAAGGTCAGAAAGCAGGGCTAAAATCTGAATAAAAGAGAATCATGTCTTTGAATAACACAGTCTCCTCGATGCCTCATTTGGAAAGAACATCTTTAAACCAATTAGCAGATGGAATTGCACAACTAACCCCTTGTTCTTAATTAATTTAAGGGTAATTTATGTTGACAGTTAAATTGGGCTAGTAAACCTTTAGAGTTCTCTTCATTTCCTCATCTGGCCTAGCCCAGGAACAGATTATCAATTATTCCTTGTTCAATAAGATTTCAAGGAAGAAAGCACCAAAGTGTTCCTGGTTCCTTCACAAGCTAGACACCAAAGTCCTCCATGCACAGCCTATGTTGATATCACAACAGCAAAGCAAAACAATTTGTGGTCAGAGTTGGTCATTGGCTAGCATGGGATCTCTAAGGGCCATGTGTTGGCGGTTGAATACATCACCTAGTCTAGTAGATTCTAAGTGTTTACTTCTCCTTTTATTTACATGGGTTTGATCCCAACAAAGTAAATATTTAAATTTAATTTAATGAAAGGCTCTGGAGAAGATATTCTTCAGTCTTCTTGTAGAAAAAGTATGGAAAGAAATTTAGATGGGCCCTTTGCTTGTGAATTTACTTGGCTGTGAACTTCAAAACAGTGCTGATAAGACAATTTTGTTGCAAATATATATATGCATGCATCTATCTATCTATCTATCTATCTATCTATCTATCTATCTATCTATC